TTATGATCTCCATGGCCCTCCTTCTACATGGGCCAATCATGCAGTAGCTGGTGGGGTTGATGTCAGTGATAACCAACAGGCAAATCTAACTCCTTTCACATCTACATCTGTTTCCGAGAAGGAGATGGTGAGTGTACTGCGTGATGAGTATGAGCGGTTCCTCCAGACTACTTCACAGCATACTACGGCCACCCTTGCCCACTCAGTTATAGCTTGTCTGTCAGCCAAACCCTCTCCCTGAGTTATTGACTCTAGAGCCTCTGATCACATGATCGGGACTCTAGGTGTGTTTTCTTCCCTCTCTGAAACTTCCACATCTCAAATTTTTACCCTTGCCAACGGTTCCTCTTCTGCCATCTGTGGTGTTGGTAATGTTGACACAACTTCTCTTCCATTATCATCTGTTCTATATGTCCCTATGTTTCCATTCAATCTTATGTCTGTTAGTACACTAACCAAGACTCTTAATTGCTCTATTACATTTTTCCCTTCCTTTTGTGTTTTTTAGGATCTCAAGATGGGGAAGAAGATTGGTGGGGGTGCATGAGGCTGGTGGATTGTATTACCTTGATGGTGGTGGATCGTCAGTTGCACTTCAGACTTCACTCACTCCTCTACAGTGGCATTGTCGACTAGGACATCCATCTCTCAAGGCACTCAAGATANGTGTCAGTATGGGAAACATCGTCGTGTTCCCTTCAGTCCTAGAGTTGAGAGTCGTATGTTGAGTCCTTTAGCTTTGGTCCATTCAGATGTTTGGGGCCCGATTAAAATAGAGTCTTATAATGGTTACAAGTATTTTGTCACTTTTATTGATGATTGTTCAAGGATGACATGGATTTATTTAATGAAAGAAAGGAGTGAATTATTTTCTATTTTTCAAAAATTCCACGCTGAAGTACGTTCACAATTTGGTGTTCCAATCAAAGTTCTACGTTCAGATAACAGTCATGAATACTTTCTTACTTCCTTTCAACAGTATTTAGAACAACATGGCATCATTAATCAAACTTCATGTGCATCCACTCCTCAACAAAATGGGGTGGCCAAACGAAAGAATCGTCATCTCCTTGAAACCGCTCGGTCTATTCTTCATCAAATGAGTGTTCCTAAATGATTTTAGAGTGATGTTATACTTACTGCGTGTTTCCTTATTAATCGGATAACCTCCTTCATTCTTCATGGTCGGTCTCCCTTCTCTACCTTGTTCCCCACCTTGTCTCCCTTTCCATTAACACCTGGTATCTTTGGCTGTGTGTGCTTTATTCACAATTTGAGTCCTGGAATAGACAAGATGGATGCACACACTATTAAGTGTGTCTTTCTTGGCTACTCTCGGACTTAGAAAGGGTACAATTATTACAATCTCATTACTCGAAAGTGCTATGTCTGTCCTGATGTCACCTTTTTTGAGTTTGTCCCCTTCTTCTCGAGATCTGATGTATCCGTGTCTCCACCTTTGCTTCCTCTTCCTCTTCCAGTCAGTGATCCAGTTCCGGGTGTTCCAGTTGGGGTTGACCCTTCACCTCCTCCTATGCAGCTCCCTACTGAACGACCACCGATCCGGCACGTGTATACTCATCGACAGACACCGGCTCCTCCTCCAGCTTCTACCTTGTCTGCGGATCCTGTTGTTGCTCCTATCCCTAAACCTTAAGGACTTGATCTTCCCATTGATTTACAAAAAGGTAAACGTAGTTGTACCCTCCATTCCATTTCCAATTTTCTTTCAGTATCTCACCTTTCTGCTTCACATCGCCAGTTTGTTTCACTATTGTCATCTATTTCTATACCTAAGAATGTTCGAGAGGCTCTTAGGTCACCTGGGTGGCTGCAGGCAATGGAGGAGGAACTCTCTGCCCTTCAGCATACTCACATGTGGGAGCTCACTACTCTTCCACCTGGTAAGCATGTTGTGGGTTGTAAATGGGTGTATACTGTTAAATACTTGCCAGATGGTAGTGTGGAGTGTCTAAAGGCCAGACTTGTTGCTAAAGGTTATTCACAATTGTATGGAGTAGATTATATGGAGACCTTCTCTCCAGTGGCTAAGATTGGCTCCATCCGTATCTTAATTTCCCTGGCAGTTATGTATGATTGGCCCTTATTTCAACTTGACATTAAAAATGCCTTCCCTCATGGTGACCTTATGGAGGAGGTATATATGGAGCAGCTACTTGGGTTTGTTTCTCAGGGGAAGGATGGTAAGGTGTGCAGACTGAAAAAGGCAATTTATGGGTTGAAACAATCGCCTCGTGCTTGGTTTGGGAAGTTTAGTGAAGTGGTGAAGA